TACTTTAGTGCAACTTGACTATATTTCTTCCAGTTCTATTATATAATAATAAAAGTATTAAGACAGTAAAAATAGAAGAAATTTATAACAATTAAAATCCGATCCAGGAAGAACTGCATCCAGCTGATTCAAAACACAAGTTCTTAAAAAGAGAGGCATCTCAAAGGGAAGTAATTCGAGTAAATGAACAATTATTAGCAGACACATTAGAAATTGAATTATTATAACGAAAAAATAAAACCCCCTTTACTAATAAAGTTCGACCTAAAAACAAAATAAGAGGTAGCAAGTTACTTAGACAACTCTAAATTGCCACCTAGGCTGTTGTTCCTATGAAATGAGGATAATAGTAATGCAGATCAAGCCAGCTTAAATTTAGACACTGATTTATCTGAGAAAGAGCGAACAGAAGCGATAAGAGAAAAAAACATTTCGATCATCCTAAAGCCCCCAGTGTTCTTGATATTCCTCTGTCAAATAACAAGGTTTTTAGAATAATCTAATCAGCAAGTGACAAACCACGGAGAATGACCTAATCATCACCAGCACTAAAATAGCCATGAGTTAACCAAGGCTATCAAAGATAAGAAAAAGGCGTTAACTCCAACTAAATAAGAATCAACAAAAAAGAGTTGAATGATTGCAGATCCGGAAAAGCAACAACAAATATATTTCAAAAACTGAAAACTTTAAGGACAAAATCGATGCCACATTAGCATTAAAAGCTTGTATGAAAACAGAGTAAGATGGTGCTATCACTAGGAACAACAACAGCGGTATCACGAATCCGACTCACAGCTGCTGTCGCAATGCGTAAATCGATTTAGGCGCATAAACATGATCGAACAAACGCACTCACATCCAGTGTTAGAACAACTGCCCAACTGCTTTATACAAGTATTGAAATTTCATCCCTTATTAGGAAGAACAAACAATATTGAACGGATAAGGAATACCAGTAAAACCTATTCCAAAAAATTCCAAACCACTTTTTAAATAACAAAAAATGAATACATATTGAATTGATCTTCGAACGTACATTTGAAAGAAAAAAAAAGTAATTTGTAACAGATGCTCTTTAAAAATGAAACTTTCTTTCCAACAAATAAAATTAGAGATATTTTTAAAGAGTAATAATAACATTCTAAAAACGTAAGGTACGAGGCGGTGTCACAAAGTAGAGCGTAAGATACAATAAAAATGAAAGTGGCATCTGTTATAGCAGTGTTTGAAGTGTGTTCTGTATGGGAGTCAGCCGTTTTGAAAAAGTCACCTCAATTCAAAAAGTAAGCAATGTTTCGTCTATTTATCCCCTTACACAATCAACAAAATACCTCTGTGCTCAAAAATTCATTTAAATTTTAGCAAAAACAAGAATAAATTATGAAACGACGATTAATGCAATAACTCTAACAAATTTACAAAAATAAAAGAAATTCAATTTCTGAAAATAGCTGCAATTCTCCTTTACACTTTATGCCAATATAATGATCATAGTGATAATGTCAAAACTGCAACTGAAGCATCTTTTTTTTTCTCTTAAAAAAAAGCGGTTCACTTCTACCCAAAATGATCAGAAAATAAAACTAAAATAACGCACGAACAAGCCGACCAACAGGTTACGCAAACCACAAAACTTTTTTTTGCAAATATATACTAAAGGTGCATGATCCTGAAGTTTTGAACAACGCTCATATATCAACGCAAGACTGACCACGATTGGATGCGCAGCAGTAAAAAGAACGTTCGAAAAACCCACCAGATTATTCGGAACAAAGAAAAAAAAGGAGAAAAAGAAGGCGGAAATAATTAAGCTTCAAAAGATAAGAAAAGCCTCAAAAACTGAGAACATCGGCAACAAGAACTCTATAACGATGGTATTACAATTACAAACACTTTTAGCAAGTAAATACAACACAGACTAGAACTTTTGCCACTATAAAGTTCCCGTAGCTGTTAGAGAGAAGAAAACATATTATGACTTCCTTAAGCAACTGTGAAATTTCCAAGACTGATCACTACCAAAAACCAAAAATTAGGTGCTGGCAGAACAGCTAAATCAAATAATCGCTTCTCTACATTACTTGCTGTTTCGAAATTTAAAGATCCTTATTTTGAAACTCTTATAGGAAAAATAAGCAAATAAAGTACATAAAAATGCAGCCGATTTATGAACTTTAAAAGCTTTACTAAACTGAATGTTACATCACGAATGAAATAAAGGTTAAAAATAAATTTTATAACCACTATCTAAGAAAACGAATGATCGACTTTAAACAGGCGCCTTAAATAACCATCACGTTACTCACACTGATAAAATCAAACCCAATCTTCAACACAAGAAAAGTACAAGAGAAGAAAGTGTTGTCAGTATTCTATTTAATTTAAAATAAGATGCCAGTT